TGTTAATTGGTCTTACGGATGGAGCTATTTTTAAATCTAATTTAAAGCGTGAATCTTTAGTAGAATTAGTATTATCTAGATTTTAGGGAGCAAAACGATGTTGACTAAACGCTTTACGTAACGCGTACATTTCGAGAAAGTATTTCGTATCGTAGGTAGCTACTTTCTCGTTGCATCATTTACCGATTCATCGTACTTCGGCGATAAAACCTACTAATGACTTGCCTCTTCCTACGAGGCCTTTTGTAACCTCGAAAAATTCCACGGCGTAGTTTGGCTTTTACATATTGTCGAGAAACGGAGCCTGGAGACCATTGTTGCTCTCAGCTCTTCCTAAACGCCTGGTACGAACTTTTTTTTTTTTTATTATTCCGATGTTTCTTGTCCACCGTGGAAGTAGGTACCGTGTATTATGAAATATCCTGTACACGTGTGCTCCAAGTATAGACACGCGTATGTATTAGCATCGTCGTCGAGCACACGGTTCTCGTAGCCGCGGGCGCTGTATTATTTCGTCATATCAAGCATCGCGCGAACGGTGCCATCTTGCGTACGTCATCGTGGGATTTCAAAGAAACGCGAGTGTGTGTATTAATTGCTTACGGTGTACTGTGATTTGCATCCTCGCCGCGCGCGATTTACGATCGTGGAGTCGAAGGAGCGCGATGAATAGAACCACGCTCGGAACAATAGTATAATTTCATTAAGCGCTCGGAAACAAAGCGTCGCGCTGACGAAAGAAAATACGAGCTCGCGTTTTACTGCATCGTCGGACAATTAGGATCAGCGGTGCTCAACCTTCCTCGTTATTTGGACGAGTAAACTAAAAATCGACGAGTTTAAAATTGTTCCAGTAACTTTAATTTTGATTTTAACGATTTTCAAGGACAAAAATAATGAGTAAATAATTTGTTGCGCTCGAATTGTCCGCGAGGAAGTAATATTTGAAAAAAAGAGATAATAGTAGAACAATATTCGGTCGTATCTGAGTTAATTGAGCAATCAAAAGCGGTCGTTAAAAATTCAAAAAAAATTTTTTAAATTGTTCTAGTAACTTTAGTTTTGATTTAACAATTTTCAAGGGCAAAAGTAACGAGTTTAAATTTGCGCTGAAGTAATATTTAAAAAAAAAAAAAAAGAAAATAGTAGAAAAATATTCGATCGTATCTGGGTTAATTGAGCAATCAGTAGCGGTTGTTAAACATGATTTCTGGTTAATATCCGATTTGTATAAAAGTCGTTCTAAGACTACTCAATGGCCGGATGAAGACAATTTAGTTCATTAAAAAAATTCAAAAAAAAGTTCAAAAATTGTTCCAGTAACTTTAATTTTGATTGTAACAATTTTCAAAGACAAAAATAACGAGTCTAAATTTGCGGTGAAGTAATATTTGAAAAAAAAAGAAAATAGTAGAAAAATATTCGATCGTATCTGGGTTAATTGAGCAATCAGAAGCAGTTGTTAAAAATTCAAAAAAAATTTCAAAAATTGTTCCAGTAATTTTAATTTTGATTTAATTTCTAACAATTTTTAGGGACAAAAATAACGATATTAAATTTACTGTGAAATAATATTAAAAAAAAAAAAAGAAAATAGTAGAGTTAATTGAGCAATCAGAAGCTGTCGTTAAAAATGATTTCTGGTTAATATCCGATTTGTATAAAAGTCGTTCTAAGACTACTCAATGGCCGGATGAAGACAATTTAGTTCATTAAAAAAATTCAAAAAAAAGTTCAAAAATTGTTCCAGTAACTTTAATTTTGATTGTAACAATTTTCAAAGACAAAAATAACGAGTCTAAATTTGCGGTGAAGTAATATTTGAAAAAAGAAACAAAATGGAAAAATATTCGATCGTATCTGGGTTAATTGAGCAATCAGAAGCGATCGTTAAAAATGATTTCTGGTTAATATCCGATTTGTATAAAAGTCGTTCTAAGACCACTCGATGGCCGGATGAAGGATGATTTAGCTGCATTCGAAATTTATTACGCAACCAGTCCGTGAAAGATCGAAACGCCACTCGATGAACGCAAGACGAATCTATCGATGGCTGAAGGGTCTGCGTGCAGTCCGTGTTCGTATCGATCCCGAGAACCAGTTTAGAACCAGGCGCAAAAAAGAGAAAAGGAAGAAACGGGGAGGAGCAGTCAGTCAAAATCAAGCACAGGAAACCGAGCCTTGTAAAAGCGATCGTAAAAATAGCACGGAATATAATTTTGCTTGTATTCGAAGATTCGTAGAAAAATAACTGCGAAAGAGGTTTCGAAAGCTGCTGGAACCGTCATGCGATCGACTTTCAGTAAATGCACGTCCGTGTTTATTATTACGAGCAAACAAACGCACGGAATTTATTGAAAATTTGTTTTCGATAAACGCACCTTCCAAACATTCTTCCTGACTTATTCAAACATTTTTATTCTTATAAATTCATTATTCTTGTGTATTAAAAATCAAACAGTTTGCGTGGGTCAAAATAAACACAGAAATTTAATAATTATCGTTTAGCAATGGAGTCTTCTGTGCTGCGTTTACGAGACTGTCGCGTACAAATTGGAGCACAGAGTTGAAATTTTCTCGATACACGCACGATAAGACCGATCGACTTCCAACGAGCGGATCGATGTTTGTTAGCAGGTCTGCGTCGACCACGGAAACGGCGATACCCTGAAACCTATAGCCATACGGTTCGTTTCAATCAATAAGATCGACTTACAACACGTCCGTTGTAGTTCCAAGATGATCTATTCGTGCGTTAGGCCGGTTCCCAGAGATTTAAAAAATGCAACAATCGGAAACAAGGAATTTAACAAAAAAAATTAACGAAAACCAACGGGTCTCGATACTTTTCTAAAGATCACTTTCATACTATTTTGATTATATAAATATTTTCGTGAACGAAAAGAAATATTTAAAAATTTGAAATAACGTTTACTTGGTACTTCCATATATCCAGAATCTTATAATCATTATCAAAATGTTAAAAAATTCTTCGCGATACGTTTGAATATAGTTCGAAGATTGCAATATGAATTTGAGTAAAATTGAAAACGTTGCTCCAAAGAGGGTGCTTGTATTTATAATTTGGTATGGAACGACCGTATCTAGCTACACTTTCTACCAGTTCGCACGATGAACCAGTGTTTTACGTCCACGGTACTTTATTTATCTACTTATTGAATAATATCGCGACACCGGTTTCTCGGTTCGACGCACCTGCGACTACGATAAAAATGACGTCCATAGGCGAGGACAATACCGCATCGGGGACACGTAATAGAACCAGAATACACATTTCTCGCGAAAGAATCGTGCTTCCCAGAAACCGAACCGATCGACTCGACTTTCTCAATTTCAATGAAATTTTGATCGAGCCTTTAAAAATTCATCTTTTGTATTTCCAATAATTTTTAACTTCCACGAACGTGCATTAGAATAATGTGCAGAATTATTAGGTCATGTCGCATGAAACTGTCGATACACGACCACTCGAAGATTGACCGCGATTAATAAAGTGAACATAAAGCAATATATCCATCGCGTTGTTCGGTAGTTATAACGATATTATGCTCTACAATTTTATTTTTCTATCGAGCCTTTTTTGTTATTGTTTATTTTCTTTGATAGTGTCAACGAAAGAATAGCAAATACCATTTTTATATAAATTTGGACTGAGGCTTGATGCACTCGAAATAGGTTCAATTGAAATTTTGTTAAATACAAGAATCAGTCTGGTAGGCCCGTCCATTACTCGTTATTTCTACTTATGTTACTACCACAATATTTACTAGGATAAAAACATTTTATAGTTTTTTTTTTAAAGATGTGTACAACAGCAATGTGCAATGAAAAATATACAGTTTCTGTTAACGACATATGTAAGAAAAATAACAGTTGAAAGGTTAAGAACATCGACACAAGTAGAAATAACGAGCAATGGACAGACACGTTAGGCAAGTCGCATTTAACCTTCAACAGGTGACGCGACGTCAAAATGGTGGCGCACGTCTAAGGCATTTATGAATATGTATTCCCCCTACATTCGTCTGAATATTTTATGCCACATAGCAGTTGCTCAAAAGTTTCTTTTTTACATAAAGAAACCTTCATTCTTTATCTTTATTTGTTTTCAGTTTGAATTAAAATCTCGTACTTGTATTTATATCAATATCGATTTCTTAACGTAAGTTTAAACGTTCTGTAAATAGCAGTCTACATTGTTATATAGTAAACTGTGTAACATATATTTCTTACGTTACAATATATTGTTAAACTTGAAGATAAAGAATTATAGATTTCAATTTAATTTCTGATAGAAGGATTATACCATATTTGAAAAATATTTAAATATCATAAAACGATGATGCTAGAATGATTCAAATAATTATACCCTTAAGATGGACATCTATTTAAAGATGTGTCTAACTGACGTTAAACTTGAAGATAAAGAATTATAGATTTCAATTTAATTTCTGATAGAAGGATTATATCATATTTGAAAAATGTTAAAATATCATAAACCGATGATGCTAGAATGATTCAAATAATTATAACCTTAAGATGGACATCTATTTAAAGATGTGTCTAACTGACGTTAAGTCATCGTTCGTGGTATTGAAACGATACGTCACTAATTGTAAATTAATTGAACGCGCCATACGTATTCAAAATCAATTTTCTTGAAAACGAAGAGTCGTACGAAATCATTCTACTTCAAATTTTCGTTTCGCTTTTTCGTGTAAAGTGACCAACGAAGAGAAACAAAGACGCGTTACTATTCACATTATTATTTGTAACCTTGTTTATGGTTGGACGACGCGATACGCGCTAAAGACCGATCTCCGAAGCTCGCATGGCAAACGTTCGCGGGCAATAAATATGACTTATCGCTCCAACGATTGCGTGGATGCATTCCATGCATTCGCGTACCGACCAACATGCATGGAACGCACCCATAAATATACAATTGCGATCGAAACGCTAGAGAGGAAGACACTCACCTTCGGGTCTCAGTCTGTCGGCAATAAGGCAGTACGGGGGTGGCGGCGACTCTGAAACAAGAACCGGAAATGGCAATTGAGTAACGCGGAATTTCTTGAAAAACGTTTCTGGGACCGTAGTTCCCCTTCGAAACTCCGTAAATCAATATTTAACTATGTGGAAACCAAAAATGAAACGTTGGAACTATCAAAGCAGTCAAAATTACCTAATTTCTAATCAAACTTGTGAAAACTTTACTCGACTGAATTTATGAAAATTTATTTTCTACAAGAGATCGAATAAACACTTATTTCCATTGTATTATACATTTCTTCGAGAAACTTGTTGAAAAGTATAAGGTCCCCTTGCATAGGAACTGATTAAATAACTATACGGGGTGTTCGACCAACCCTGGGAAAAATTTTAATGAGGGATTCTAGAGGCCAAAATAAGACGAAAATTAAGAATACTAATTTGTTGATGGAGGCTTCGATAAGAAGTAATTAACGTTTAAAGTTACACCAGTACTCAATTTTTCTCTCAAAAATACGCAGGATTTTGGGGGTATGTGTAATGACCAAAAATGATTGTAATCGACTCTTGCAACCGAAAATCATTTTTCCAGAACGATTTGAAATTTTTTTTTTCCGTTGTCAAATTTCACACATTCTCGAATTTTTTTCTCGAAAGTGGGTAGGAATTCGGGAGTACGTTTATTCACCAACAATTATTGTAATTGACCCCTGTAACTTAATATAATTTTTTTAGTATGATTTGAAATTTTTTAATTTTGTCGTAAAACTTCACTACCGACTCGAATTTTTTTCTCGAAAGTGGGTAGGATTTCGAGGGTATGTCTATTCATCAAAAATTATTGTCATTGACCCCTGTAACTTAATATAATTTTTTTAGTATGATTTGAAATTTTTTAATTTTGTCGAAAAGTTTCACTACCTACTCGAATTTTTTTCTCGAAAGTGGGTAGGATTTCGAGGGTATGTCTATTCACCAAAAATTATTGCCATTGACCCCTGTAACTTAATATAATTTTTTTAGTATGATCTGAAATTTTTTTATTTTGTAGAAAAACTTCACACCTACTCGAATTTTTTTCTCGGTACTGCGTAGGATTTCATGGGTATGTCTATCCACAAAAAATGATTGTAACTGACCCCCGTAGCCAAAAATATTTTTTCCAGAACGATTTGAAATTTTTGAATGAAATTGTTAATAACTTTTTAATGAAGCCTCCATCAACAAATTGGTATTCTTGATTTTCGTTTTATTTTAGCCTCTAGAATCTCCCATTAAAATTTTTCCTAGGTATGGCAGAACACCCTGTATATAGACAATATTTAAAATGTTAAACATAGTCGCTTTAATTATTCATTAGATATTACATAGTTTACTATAATTCGATTACTGTAATGCCGACCATGCGGCTCGAAAAAACGACTCGACTCGATCAAAAGCCACGGGAATCCCCGCGCGATCTTCAACCTCATTATAGGTGTCGCCACTTTGGCCGCGAGATTATGAACGACTCAACAAGTCTATCGTTTTAATTTCTTTGGTACAAATAAATGCACTATAATTGTCGGTAGTTCTAAAGTTAAAATACAATTGTTATCGAGAGGTAGAAGAACAATTAATATCTAAAAATAGACGATGTAATTTATAATTGATAAAATGACCCATTCATAATTTCTAACAAAACTTGTAAAATATTTACTTAACTGAATTCATAAAAATTTACCATTATTCTCTATCAGAGAATGAATAAACATTTTCATTGCATTAAACATTTCTTCGCGTATCTATCGTTTCAATTTCTTTGGTACAAATAAATACACTATAATTCTAGTGTTAAAATACAATTGTTATCGAGATGAGAGGTGGAAGAAGAAATAATATCTACAAATAGACGATGTAATTTATAATTGATAAAATGACCCAATCATAATTTCTAACAAAACTTGTAAAATATTTACTCAACTGAATTTATAAAAATTTACCATTATTCTCTATCAGAGAATGAATAAACATTTCCATTGCATTATGCATTTCTTCGCGTATCTATCGTTTTAATGTCTTTGGTACAAATAAATAACTGTCGGTAGTTTTAGTATTAAAATACAATTGTTATCGTGACGAGAGGTGGAAGAACAATTAATATCTAAAAATAGACGATGTATTTAATTATAATCGATACGGTACCGTGAAAAGTAACACCGAGTGCCTGAAAAGGCATCAGGTTCTCCAACCCTGGCCAAGCCTAAAACGAACCGAAGACATTCATCAACGGCGCCAGCACGGACGCGCGATGAATCTATTTTTGCGGGGAATCTCGTTACGCCGTTCGCGTCCCGATTACCGATTCGATCCAAAACGGATCCGCGACGGTCGAGAAGGAACGGAGAGAATCCGACCCAAGGCTCCGTTTTCGATTAAGTGGAATTAATGGGAATCGCGACGGGCAACGAAACGTAGCTGGCGCGCGATGGCCGGTCGGGGAGCCGTGCTCCAAAAGCGGCGGATTTTATTATTGGCGCACCGGGTTGAAACCGGTACGCGGTTTTCCGTCCTTTTACGTATCGCGTTTAACGCAAAGAGGACAAATTGTGCCGCGAATATCGCGAACGTCAAGGTAAAACGTGGCGCTTAAGAACGCGGGACGTCGAGATTCCCAAGGAACAGCGAGACGCGATTAGGCCAGGCGAAGGCGCTTTGGCAACACCAGTGAAACGGGTTAATTGGTTCTTTTTTGCCTGGACAGAATTCCTCGACGAATTTGTACATCGAATCTAACGCAACGCTCTGGGTGTGTTGCAAATTTTATTATACCTTAACAGCTGGCTTTTAAAGAACTGCAAGTTACCAATGAATTTACGAATTAACCCTTTTAGTACAGAACGACGATATATCGTTGCGTATGCGATGTTGCCTTATTCTTCGCATTAGGATAAAGCTCTGTCTCAAAAAAAAGTTTGTAAAACATTATAAAGGGTCTAATTTTATTGCAAAAGCATTTAAAAAATTATTTTTGGGTTTAACCCTTTGCCCCAGAAGCTTTTTTCGCTCGGGCGAATCAGCAACTCAACACTACTTTGTGGCGGAAACGTATGTATTCTGGAGTCGTCATAGTATACAGGGTGTTCGGCCAACCCTGGGAAAAATTTTAATAGGAGATTCTAGAGGCCAAAATAAGACGAAAATGAAGAATATCAGTTTTTTGACTGAGGCCTCGTTAAAAAATTATTAACAATTAAATTAAAAAATTTCAAACCGTTCTGGAAAAATTATCTTCAATTGCAGGGGTCAATTACAATCATTTTTAGTAAATACACATACCTCCGAAATCCTACCCACTTTCGAGAAAAAAATTCGAGCAGGTACTGAACTTTTTAGATGAAATTAAAATATTTAAAATCACACTAAAAAAATTATATTTAGTTACAGGGGTCAATTACAATCATGTTTTATCATTGCACGTACCCACGAAATCCTACGCATTTTGGAGAAAAAATTTCTTACCGAAAATCTAATTTCTCTTCCAGACCTAACCCAGACCTGACCCAAACCTAACCCAGACCTAATCCAGACCTAATCCAGACCTAACCCAGACCAAGGTGCCTAAATTTTTCGACGAAAAAAAAAAATTTCAAATCGTTCTGAAAAAATTATTTTCGGTTTCGGGGGTCAATTACAATCACTTTCGGTGAATACACATACCCCTGAATTCCTACCCACTTTCTAGAAAAAAATTCGAGAAGGTGTGAAATTTTTCAGCGGGGAAAAAAAATTTCAAATTGTTCTGGAAAAATTATTTTCGGTTGTGGGAGTCAATCACAATCATTTTTGGTGAATAGACATACCCTCGAAATCGTGCGCGTTTTCGAGAAAAAAATTCAGTACAGGCTCCACTTTAAACGTTAATAACTTTTTAACAAAGTCACATCATATTTTGAATTGATTATTTATTAAAAAATCATTGAAAATCAAATACTTATACTTTATGCTACGTGACCTACATAAAACTGTGATCAAACAATGATTATTCTTATGTGTAAATATTGTTTGTAGAAGAGAAACTTGTTTCTATGTTTTTTATCATATTTTATAATTATGTTATTTATACGATTTGCAATAAATATTGAAATGCAATTACCATTACTTTATTCTTTCTTTATTTCGTAATATGCTGCTTTTTGAATTTTGTAAATATCATTCTTAGTTTGGTTTTTACGAGCTTTTTCTCTAACTATAACAAACTCGTCAAATTGGCTCGGTATTCTTCGCATAGGCACCCGTTTTTCGCTCGGCACTAAAAGGGTTAAGAGTAAGTTATTCGTGGATGTAAAGTTATTCGTCGTCCATCTTTGGTCACAGAGACTACAGGCCTGTACGTGTCAACCAGTGTATAGAGATCAGTGACCATAACGTCTATAGTAACCTCCTGGTCCGAGGACCCTGAACTTGATCACCACTAACTGGGGATTTATTGGGTACGGAGTTAACCCTATCGTCGTTATTCGAGCCACTAAATTTTTGTGATCCCATTTTTGTGGGCTCGACATCGTATTTCGTTCCAGAAGTCCACCTCGATATAGAATTTTAACATTTCGATTAAAAAATCTGATTAACACCGATATCAGGTCAACTTGTGTGTTCGATCAGCAACAACGTTTAAAATTATTCCACAAAAGCATACAGATTGTTCAGTATGCCTCCTCATTTTTGTTTGCCAATTTTTCTGAAAATTTTTCATTGTCCTGAAAATCGATTTTTGATCACAGGTCGTTTCGAGCCACCGTAGAGTTACGCGATCACGAACTTTCTCGCGAGTATAAATAAATATATTAAAAGCACTATTTCAAGGAACGTCCTCGTTCTTACGTAATTTACCGGTAGTAGACGACGCGCCTTTTGCTACATTTCTCTTTTAACGTCGCGTCTCGTTATTGGAAACAAAGTTATTAACGTCGGGTTATTTTCGTCGCTGACTATTAATAAATGCTGTAACGTCGACGCTAATTGCGTTAATCTGGCGATGATCGTGTCGTAAAGAAAC